TCGCGATCTCACGAACCGGAGATAAATGAAATAATTCTTTTACATTTAACGCTTTTGCGCTTTACCGAGAATCGCCCCCGTCCGCGAGAATTCGAAATTTAAGCGCAGCGGGAACGAAACAGAAAAAAAGAAACAAAATGTATGCATTTTCCTGCGTACGCGAGCGCGGAATATACGGTTATATTTCGCGATTATCGCGAGTGAATGCATAATCGTATTAAAGCGCGGTAGCAGGATGGGACGCGAGTTTGGCGAGTTTTCTCATAATAGAAATATGTATCATATTCTCGTAAAAATATTATATTTCGTATTAGATGACCTAGTTCGTACCGCGTACCACCACACATTGTCTTCGTCAAACAATTCGAATGAATATTTTGGTAATCCTGGTCCTGCCGGACTTTCGTTTTGCAATTTAGATGCCGTACTAGCCGATATACGAACCGTTTATTGATTCTTTCATCTACCCGAGTACTCGAAATATTCCTGATGGAAAATTCCGTATAATATGTGCTATTCTTACCGTTTAACAATGTCAAATTCATCGCGGTGCGTTAAAGATGAGATGCCATTTTAGCTTCTAATTAAGGTAACTGTTCGAACTGTTCGAATCTTCAGCTCGAAAGCTTCGATTTATTTGTTCAATCTTAAAAATTAGCTTCCAAATTGAGCACTAATTATATTATAATATTTATATGTTAAAAATACAAGTTGCGAGAGTGATGATCATGCGTTCGAATAGCGTGTACAGTATATACGCATATCGAAGCAAATATAATTAATAAGAAATAAAAGAAATGCGAAAACGTGTCGAATTTTTCGAGAAGCAGTGGGTTCATAAATTCCACGATACACAATAGAGACAACGCGTAAAAAAGAATGAACCAAGCGCGGAAAAAATGTTCATCGTTGCGTTTGTTTAAATTCTAAAAAAAACCGTCTTGCTTTTTTTCAATCTGGTTTGTAATTCGTCCACGGCGTTATTCTACTTTACAGAGAAGCGTGGAAATTCATTATACAAAGAACGAAAATTTGTGTGCTGAATTTTCTTCGGCGAATTCCAGCCTGCATCTGGATTAATTACGAAGCTCGAAGCGCTCTTGTCGAGGGTGTCTCTGTCGCGGCAGAGACTATATCGTGGGTTTTAATTAACACGATGAGCATACGATTCTTTCGACCATTTATGCTTGCATGGATATCAACGAGAGAGAGAGAGACAGGAAAATGAAATGCATAGGCATCTACGATGCACTTGTTATTTACGTAGTGTTCGAGTAGCTCTAGATAGCGTAGTGGGCGATCTTCAATATTGAACGAAAGGTGCAGAATAAAAAATAAATAGTTGATTCAAATTTTCTACTGCGAAGCGCTTCCTATATAATCACAAGCAAAGCTAAATATAAAAAAACGTGTGGCGTAAAGATAAATTATAAATAAACGCGTAAATAACAAGTAAATTGAATTCGCAATACAGCTCATGACGCGAAATGTTCATTATTGCGACATAGTTTTGACATTTATTACGAGATTGGTATCTGCACGTAGATATTTACAGATATTACAAATATTTGTATAATTTAATCATTTCTCATATTGCCGGCGGAGCAACAGTTCAACGTGAATGGAATGGACCGATCTGCGCGGATAGGCAGGCGGGAAAATAAAAAAATCCTCCATGGAAGCTGCTCGACAAAATTAATTAACGTTGACGTTGTTTCCGCTGCATTATTTTCCTTCCTCTCCGCTGTAACAAATTAATTCTAGCGCTGATCAAAGGGATCCGCGGCCACGCGCTGATTCGTGTTTACACTTTGTGGAATCGCGAAAATTTCCAAGAGCAGGTAAGGCAAATGCTTGGCGCAAGACTGGAATTCTAGCAAAAGAATCGCAATCTCATTTTAATGCAAATCCGTTCTCATCGCGCATTCTGCAGTTTCTTTAACTGATACCACGTGGCAATTAAAACACGCGTCGCGTCCATGCCGCGAAAACTTGGCATCGCAATGTTTTATTAAAAGTGTTTTATTAAAAGCATAAATAAAGTCTAAAGCCATACGTCAATCTAGAAGGAGTGAAATATTTTATCTAGTTGTACACAAATTTGTTCTGCAGTTTTGTTTTATTTTAAAAATATTCAGTTTAAAAATATATATTTTAATTTTATATTTTATTCCGAAACTTATAAACATAAGTCTGAAAAGATTCACCATTCTTTTAATATTAAGCAGCAATAATTTTCCCTGTTTGATTTTATAACATTATATTGTATATTGGCAGAAAGAAAACCCATTTAATCCTTCCGTCAGAGTCGCAGCTTTGAGGCGCAGCATGCGCCTTGCCAGTGTGATAATTATCACTGTAAAGCCATTTCTCGTCTCTATCTATATCAATGTAGTTTGATAATCGTCGCTGGGAAGAGTCATTCGTATGCCCGCATCGAAGATGTCGACAACGTTAATTGCAACTAGGACAACCCTCGAATGCCTTTGTAATTAGACGTCGCTGCTCCGAGACAGAAAGGAGATACAACCGACTACAATATATTTGATTGCATTTACCAATGTCTTCGATAGCGATTTTAATTACAAATATTGACTCATACTTCTTTTTCTCTTACTCGCAACATACCACCGCGTATAAATCTCCTCTTTAAATTTGATAAACATGCTTCATTTTTATTCGCATCTTATCTCCATCAGTTTTCTAAAGATCAATAACGCAGCGTTTATCATCCACGGCTTATTACGCAAGGGAAGTGATCTTTCACGAAAAATTACTCACAAGACTCGCAATAAAGCGATGCATCGCATCGCATTACGCTTGGAAATATCGCGGACACTTTATTGGTATTCATAACTCTTACTCAAATGAGAAGACGAGCACATACACTTTGCTTATATTTTACAATTTGTCGAGATCTTCGCGCGTTTCTTTCATATTTGTTAGAAAAAGATTGATTTTAAATTAATATAAGAATCTACGAATAAAAGATGATCTGACATGAAAAAAGAAAAACACTCTGTATTTTTTACTTGTCCTAACAAGTTAGTCGCCGGTGGTATTTTTGGAAAACGAGCTTTAAACATATGTCTAAAGTCAGCGCGCGGAAGAAGTTTCGTAGCGGTCGACCAGGTCTCACCGGCGAGGTGAATAATGGCAGGTCTGCGTACTGTAGCGAACAGTTTGTCATCGAAACTAACCAAGGTCCTCAGCTCATTTTGCAGCAAGGCACGTAATTCAATTTCCATATAGCGATACCCATGTCTAGCCTAGTCTCCCGGCTTTCCCGGCCTTCCCGGCCCGAACGAAAACCAAAATCATCTTGAGGCATCACTTTGACAAGCCCAAACGCATTCTTCAGATGTTTACATAAGCCTCGCACAACAAGCACGAAAGCACAAGCTATCGCATATCAAGCTATGTATATTGTTATAAATATTATATAAAATAATATTAAAAACAATAATAAAATAAAAATCGCCGATCACACAGCTCGTTTCTAATTGTTTTCAATGGATTCCAATTTATTTTCTATTCTTATCCATTAACGTATTAGCTTTTATTCAATATTACATGCGAAATATCAAATATCTAAATCTCTCAACACAAATATAAACCTTCTCACATAACATTTAATGGACTAATGCATGTTATGAAAGATAAATTTTATTTTACCTCGAAACTCTCAAGCGATATAGCGATGATATGCGGAGCGTGGAAGCCCGATGGTAAATCGAGTATTTTGTTGAGAGTGGTTTAGAGGAGCAAAATGATGGAAGGATAATAAACGCGAAGGCGACGGCCTTTTTAATCTTGAGAAGGTAAGAGTGCTAAAAACGAAATCCAGCGAGGACACTTGGAGGCATTCGTTCATTTTGACAATATAAAATGGGATTGTGCAATCCGACGCAAGCCGGCTTGCCGACGGTCTCGTTCTTTCAAAACTGACTTTCCAAAATGTACGAGAAATAAGATTTTCTCGAGAATTAAAGAGCTGTTTTCCCTTCCTCCTTTTCTTTTTCCTCGGCAAAGTCAAATGAAAAGAGTGATTTTACTTTCTCTCGCAGAGAATATGATCTCCGCTCTGGCTTCTCATTATAAGATTCGGCAGATCGATGATTTATTCCAGAAAGTTTGAATTGGGTCGCGATATTAAGAATTCCTTGAACGTGCATACGAAATATGAGAGACATATTTTTACGACTCTTTCTGAGGTATAGCGATGACTGTGTTGCTCTAACAAATTATAATATATTTTGTTTCTTTCTCAGGATTCTTAATTATTTCCCTCCCTATTCAGCACACAATAATCTCGTTAACATAGTTAATTGTATTCGATTTACAATAAAAGAGTCGTTCATTGAAATTTTTTACAATTTAATTTATCAATCAAGTCTCGCACGTGGTGGCCGCTAAAAGTTCCGCCGCGCGCTTTTTACCGACGAATACATCCCGAGCTCGAGTAATCGCGTTTATCACACGAGAACCGAGGCTGAGCGGGCCGCTATTGCGAATAAACGTTACGAAGTGATTCCAATTAAGGACCATTATAGGGTCGTTAATAATGGCGCGCGGCGCACGAGGTCGATAACGTTGTTTGGCAGAACGTAGTACGCGTCGACTGCAACGGATTGCGAGAAACTGGCACGAATCTCTACGTCGGAGCTAAGTCCCATCGACTTATATTTACAATCCACCAAAAGACCTTCTATATAAAACGGAATTGTTTTGAAAAAAACTGACAGATATAGAAATTTATTAGGCTGTGCGCACACAAAAACACTCTTAGCACATATTACACTTTTCGGTATATATATATGCCAGAAAATATAATTGATTATTTATAGATCCTCTTTGTTGTTTTAAAATAATTTGGAAAATGTAATTATCACAGAGATATTATTATTTTAAAATAATACGTTCTCGCTCTGAAATATTATTGTAATGTATAATTTTAATGGAAGTGTAACCGGGATTTGATTTCGTTTACATTTTTCCAGAATGCCTAACGAGAACGCGTCGGTGTGTGCTTGTGGCGTGGTCGTGGATCTACCAAAATCGCGAAGTAGCTCGATCGTCCTAGGAAAACTGACCATCCTTCTGCCAAAGTCGAAAGGCAACAAATCAGAGGGCAAGGGCTCACGTAAGCAACATGATGACAGCCGAGGACCGAAGAATCGAACGCCAAGCGAAACTGGCAGTAGCAGTTCGGTGACGGAGCCCGCAAGATCTACGATAAAGAGCAGCAAACACGAAAAACAGCTCAATCATTCGCGGAGAACCCGAAGCGCCGACAGAGCCGAATCGCATTACACTTATATTGGTCAGTGAGTCAGTATATTAAGCATGGTTAAAGTATTGAAAAAGATTGAAAAAACGTAGATGCTAATTATTGAAATATAAAAGTAGAAATAGTGTTTAAATAAGTGAGAGTTTACATATTAATTCAATTAATCTTCTAATTAACGTTATGGAAAAATACGAGTGCCACGAAAGTTGCAAAACGGAAAATGTTAAATTAATTTTTAACGTAGATTCGGGCTCGAGCATTCTCAGTGGTGGAATTCGAGAGAACACCATACCGGAAGCACTGTACACCAACATACCGGACACACCAAACACGAGTAGTGCAAACGAAAGCGGAACTAGTCGGTCGAATTCGCAAAGCAGATTGCAACCTCTTTACTCCGCTATTCCGTCTATGACATCGCCGCCGCCGACATACGACGTAGCGATTGCAAAAACATGGCAGGTAAAATATGTTGCAATTTAATATCTTTTGTGTATATTTCTCTTTTCTATTCAGAGTGCTGAATAGAAGCGCTGATAATTAAATTGTCCCGTTCTGCGGACTGCACAATTTCTTTCTTTCATGTCCGGATGTATCTAGACAAAGAATGTGCTTCATTCTTGTAGAAAATAAGTTCCTTTCTATACTTAAATTTTTTCCTTTGAGTCTCTTGCAGTATTTCTCGAAACTGAATACATATTAGAGACATTGAAAAATTTTTATCGTTCATGTACAAATAGATCGCTCCAGAAATGGACTTCTCTTATCGCAGCGTCCATCGTTTGCCTAAAAAAGCGGCAAAAAGTGGTAGATAATACCGGACAATATTTTGACTAAAAATATTGTATAATACCATTTTTAAGATATTATTAAAGGAAATTGCTTTAAAAATAATGGAAATCTCTGCATACCGCTAATATTTGCACATATTTAATTCCGACAGACTTTAAGGAAGTAGAGAAAAGCGTAGAGAAAAATATCAAGTAAATATTTAACGAAAGAATGAAAAAAGTATTTCACGCAACGCCAACAAATATTAACAGAACGAGCTAGGATTGATGTAATTGAGCCAATATATTTTTTTGTTGTCTTATTCTTATTAAGATAAAATAATATCTCTATTTCTTTTATAGTATTTACAAAATTTCATAAGTCTTATAATGCTGCACAATCTTTATCTTCCGATTCATTAGATTATCTTTTTCTTTTCAACTTCACTTAATCCAGAACATCGTCATCCTCTTTAATTCCCTCATCCTGGTTCCTTAAATCCTCTCCTAGATTCAATCCTCTTAACTTCCTTTCATCCTCACTCAACTCTCTCACACACAAGACTCTTTTCCTAATAACTTTATGACATCTGAACTAATGTAATATGTGATATCCACGTACGCATTTTTAAATACACAGCATACATAAGATATGCAGCGCTAAAATATTCATCATTTTAATTGAAATTTAAAATAATAATAAATTTATAATAATGTAGCAGCTACATAAATATGAAGTTTTAATATATCATTTTATTGGAAATTTTCAATAAATTATTTTATATTGTCTTAATAAATTATTTTTTTTTTTAATGTTTTTATTTTAATTGATCCCTGTACAGAGTGTCTCAGACTTACCGTATCACCCGTTAATGGCAGATTCCTGAGATCATTTGGAGACGAAAATCTTAATACCAAAATGTCGAGGCTACTATAATATTTGAATGGGAAAGGCTTAAAGTTTACCAATCAGCTTGTCAGAATTTCGCGCGTTCAGGGACATCGCATCTCGAAAGGACCCTTGCACAACACTTTATGTAGCAAATCATACTTCGTACCGATAGTATTGATTTTCTCTCATGACATGAGAAACGTCATTTGTCAATGGCACGACTGCTTTGACAGTTCGACGCGCATCGTGTTTTAATACAATTTAGAAATTATTATCGTTAGTAAATTCGTCAGTATTGCGAACAATGTAAATAAAGTGAATAAAGTGAATAAAAGCTGAGTGAAGTAAATAAAACGTATTGAATAAAGTGTTGTGCAAGGGTCCTTTCAGGATGCGATGTCCCTGAGCGCGCGAAATTCTGACAAGCTGATTGGTAAACTTTAAGCCTTTCCCATTCAAATACTATAGTAGCCTCAACATTTTGGTATTAAGATTTTCGTCTCCAAATGACCTCAGGAATCTGCCATTAACGGATGATACGGTAAGTCTGGGACACCCTGTATATCTATACTTTTTGCCTTTAATAAAAAATATATACGATTCTATGCCAGATAGCAAGAATTCTTTGTACGTAAATAAACTAATTGCGAGCAAAAGCTTATCAATCGATGTTGCAATCGATCTTTCCAATCGCTAATCCGCATTACAAATTCATCCCCGTCATTCGATTTGCATCCTTGAACTTTTAAGAAGCTGTCTGGCTTACAATTATCGGTTGATACCGTTCCAAGTAATAAGTTCTAACATATTAACATAAATATACTCATTTGAAAAAACTGACTTATAACAAGCAATTCAAAAGTATCACATAATTAATCTTTTTAATAAATTGTTATCTTGTGATAAAGATAATATTACTAGGTGCGCAACTAAGTTTCCGGGTTTCACACATGAATGGCGCTAACGATACATGTAGTCGATATACATGTCTAAAGTTGTGTTTTTTTATTAACTTGGACATCTGTCAACAATAACCAGTTATAATACCAACACATATCGCAACGCAAAAATTTTTTTCTAACAATAAAGATGTCGAGTTTTGTGCCAACTAAACAGCATTTGCGGGAAGCTTTGCTTTTCTGCTTCAACTTGAAAGAAAATGCAGCTGAAGCAGGTCGTTTGCTTAAGAAAGCCTACGGCAAACATGCACCATCGAAAACTACCTGTAAAGATTGGTTTAAACGCTTCAGAAGTGGCGATTTCGACACTGAGGACAAGGAGCGCTCCGGAAGACCAAAAACATTTGAGGACGCCGATCTGCAAGCGTTATTGGATGAAAATGATACGCAAACACAAGACAACAACAACTGATAAATTTGAACCATGCATTGCTCGAAAAACGGCCAGAATGGGACACGAGACACGAACGAGTAATATTGCAGCACGACAACGCTCCGTGCCATCGCACT